GGTGGGAGTGAAGAGATGATTAAGGGAAGCTTATTTTTTTTTCTTTCTTATGTATCTCAAGAAACCCATTTTTTTGAACTCCCCTGACACATAATACGGTCAGTTTTATCAGAATAAGATTTCACGAGGGTTTAAATGCTACAGAAATAGTCAAAGGCTTAAACTTATGACCTCATTATGTTTTAGTGTGATTCACTCAATAATACAAGACATTAGGAGTATTTTCTTGAGATCCATTGTCATGACCCATCACAAACCATTTTAAAACTGTGCAGGGACACTCTGATCTCCTGAGTGATGAAAAAGAAAGTATCGGTGAGGATGTAGATGGTGAGTTCATCAATTTTCAGCTTTGTTGAGTTTAATAGTGGCAATTTTTGAGATTTAACCTGCTCTCTTCTTCTAGATCAACCCGGAGATGATGAAGAAGCTGGAGAAATTGTCCTACAACAGTTACCTTGGGAGGGAACTGATCGAGATTATGAATATGAGGAGGTATTTTCTTAATTCTTTGTATTTTCTGCATATACCTGATAAGAGATTTTAGAATGCACTCGATTGTCCAAGATAATATGTAGCTACCCTCACATGGACTTGAGCTGAGTAATAATGCATCACTACAACCTCACAGAATCAGTCCAGGCATACAATTAAAAACCTTGTGTAGTTTGTGTAACCAAGTCACATACGTTTCAAAAAGTTGTCAAATGTTTCGTACTTCGATGGTTATCTTATGCTTATGTAAACTCTTTGATGGATGACTAAATAACCCTATCATTTGTATACAGTTCTAATGTAAGGAATCTGTGCTAATCTAGACTCTAGGACTATATTGCCAAAGTGGTTCCATTGTACTTCTTCGTGCATAGGTTGCCTGCTTTATTTGCTATATGGAACTAGTAGCGTAATTCTGATTCTTGTTTCCTGATGCACACTATTTGTTTGATTTTAGGCTTTTTTAAAATGACAATTGAATTTCGCTTTTTGACTCTGCAGCTTCTGGGCAGAGTATTCAATATTCTCCGTGAGAACAATCCCGAGCTTGCTGGAGATAGGCGAAGGACTGTTATGAGGCCCCCTCAAGTTCTTCGTGAAGGCACAAAGAAAACTGTGTTTGTGAATTTCATGGATCTTTGCAAGACGTAAGTTCTTTTCACTTGGTTTTCTTTATTGTAGCCTTTGCATCAATTACTGTTATCGACAAGTACTGTGTTTGCCAATTTCCTCACAACTTGGAATTGCTAGTGATGAGTAGTGACTACCATATTCACCCATCCCAATATAAATAGTCTTGTTTTACATGGCTCTGCCTTACTTGGCTAAGAATTGACATTAGTTGTCTTAACTTAGTTAAAATATGAATTTTTTGTAGAAACCTGCATATTTATTTGCCAAAATGATTTCACTAACTTAGATAACCCTGCTACTGCGTTCCTGAGACAGGTATTAACTCAATAGTGCCAATTTTGTTTTCGGACCAGTGCTGTAACATCTTCTTATCTATAGAAAGTGGAACCTTAAAACTTGGAACACCACTATGTGACGCTACAGAAATATGTGTATACTTTGTTTGGCTTTCAATCTAATAACCGCTACTGGAAATTATAAATTACTGTGGAAAACCAAGCAATGCATTTATAATAACCCAAGTTGGCTCAAACACCAAATATATATGGAATCTTGTGTACTCTGAAATTATCAATTTCTGTGGGAAACCACTCCGTGAATCATAAATACTCAAGCTGGCTCAAACATCAAACTGTTTATATGATGGAATATTGCTGCACTGAAGTAGCTTGTGTGTACCTCTAGCTACTGGCTCTTTCTCTATCTGAAATTTGTTTCACACAATTGTATTTGGTGTGAATATCAAGGTGTGAAATTGAAGAATATAGTTAGTTTATTATGATTGATTGAGCTTTTAGGTGCTTAGTTTGATTTTACAAAACTGATCATGGCTTAAAATCTAATTTTTGATTGAAGTTGGTCTCCGAAACTGTCATGCTGTATAATGTCTCATGATCGATAGTAATGTGTCATAGTGGTATCACTAATGAAAGGTTATCATTGGATTCCCTGTGAGTTTTGGTCAGTTTATCTTTCTGTATGTTAATACCTGATTGCACTGCTTGATTAATTGTTTCCTATTTACAGGATGCATAGGCAGCCTGAGCATGTTATGACTTTCTTGCTGGCTGAAATGGGGACTAGTGGATCACTTGACGGGCAGCAAAGATTGGTCATCAAGGGAAGATTTGCTCCTAAGAATTTTGAAGGAATCCTCCGCCGATATGTCAGTAAGTTCCTGTTATCATTCCCTGATCTATATATGCAGGCTGCAGCTATTTGGAGATGGCATTCTTTCTGTTTTTATATATTTGTAAATAGTGCTTTGTATGCGCTTCTGCATCCTACGATCTAACAGCCTTTTCTCGGCAATGATCATTTTCTTTCAGATGAGTATGTCATTTGCAATGGCTGTAAAAGTCCAGATACTATCCTTTCAAAAGAGAACCGTCTTTTCTTCCTCCGATGCGAGAAGGTATTTATTCAAATAGATGCACGATATCCATTAATTATCTGCATTCAACTTTCACTTTGTGAATGTAAAAGCATATCTTTGTAACTTGTGCTCCAATTTTTCTTCCATCAGACAAATAGAGAATAAGACTTTGTGGCAGGTCACTGTCTAGGTACTTTTAGGTTGTTTCCTTTGAATCCATGCGGTGCAGGGTGAGTGGGGTGTATAGAGTTCTCTCATTGGGCTTTTGTTGAGCAAGTGCTGGTGCTTCTAGATTCTAGGCTCTATTTCTGGGACATCCTCTGACAAAATGTGAAGTTTCAATTGCCAGATCATATATCTTAGTAATATGAGATCTCAGGCCTGCCCTTTATATTTCATTTATTTATACTGGGTTGCATTTTATTTTTTTTGATGAAGTTATACTGGGTTGCTTTTCTTGAATGAGTTGTTTATGCTTTTTTGATCATGTGCTATCTGTTCTACCCTCGAGAATGCTTTAGTATTCCCATCTCTTAACCAATCAAAAAACAAGAAGGCTTTAGTATTCCGTATCTCTTTCAATCCTGCCTGCTATTTACCTCAAAGAAAAGAGGAAAATGGCTGCTTTCTTATTTAGTGGATCACTTTTAAGAATTGTTTGGATTTTTCCAACTAGTTTTCGTTTTGTTTATTTTCTTGCAGTGTGGCTCTGGAAGATCAGTTGCTCCTATCAAGGCTGGTTTCGTTGCTCGTGTTGGACGTCGGAAAGCTGGGACCTGATACATACGGCTTGGGGATTGAATATCTTGTCATAATAGAGTACGTTGGAGTTTTGTATGTTTTGCTTTGTGTTTAACCTGAGGAGACATATTGAAGTTTGGTGCGACTTTGCTTATGAAGAAAGTTGGTTTAGATTTACTTTGTTGGGATATGTTATCTTGTTTATTTCTATAAAATGTGGCTTATACTTGTTTTCCTCTTATATTCAACTGCTAATCTTGTTGCACATGCAATGGCCGAATATAATGTTAGTCTCTCTTTCTGCAATGGGCCGCAAATATTAGCCTTTTGTGTGCAGTAGATGATCACGTAATCTTTGTAGTGATTTGCATCCAGAGGTCACTTTGGTTATGAAACTATGAAATGTAACTTTTGATGAGCATTAATAAAACATCCATAATTTTAAGGTAGAAAGTTGATTTCTTCTTTCACTTGTTCCTGTGAAGAATGTTTAGACAAATTAACGAATTATGAGCCTGTTTGTGGCCTAAATGTTTTCCTTGGTGAAAATCCTCTTCTTTTTTTTTCCTCTCAAAGTTGAGGTTGGTTGATAAAGCTTTTAGATTAAGAAAAAACATTTTAAAATAGAAATTGAAAATAAAAATTAACTTGATAATAGAGTTTGAGATTTATTGAAAATAATTTTTCTACTATGTCCATAGAATTGTGAAGATGAAAACCAGTGAAACGTACCAATTCAATCATAATTTTTCTACTATCTTCTTCAAATTGACTCGTGGGATCACACTAACCATGTTATAGCTGATGGCTTGATAATAGAGTTGTGAAGAATAGTCAGTCAGAAGATGAAACATCAATGAAACCTACCAATTCAACCACCGACGTCCGATAAACGTTTCACATTTACTGTCTAATTATTGCAAACGCATATACCCTTATCAATAAAAAATGACACATATATTCAAGTCCAAGAGAAAGTCTTAACACGTAGCTATTTCGACTAGTTGAAAGATATTTTTGACCCTTTCTTAATACTTAACGACAGACTGATTTAATCAAGTCCAATAGAGTTTTTATAAATCTGTTTGTGAGACTCAGAATTATCCAAACTATGATTCATACTTTAAAATGACTTTATAATAGTGTTTATTTGACGATTTGAGTTAAGAGTCAGCGGAAAATAACTTCTCTATCTTCATCACACACTTAATAATGGAGTTCTGAAGAAAAGTCATGTTGGAAAATCAATGATAATGTGCCAATTCAACAACCATCATATGCATGCATTCATATTTGTAAAAAGTAAAAATTTATGCCTCCCATCTGATTTCGTACGTCTAATTAATGCCATCGCATGTACCCTCCTCGTAAATAAATTTTACAAACCAAAAACAACCAAGTCCAATAGAAAAGTCTTTAACACGTTGTTGGAGAGAGCTATTTCGAATAGTTGACGAATAATTTTGATCTCAGTCACTGGTCAGTTTCCTAAGGTTCAAGACAAACTTAAAGGTAGCAGCATCTTTCAAAATTTTCAATAATGTTTCTTTAGAGTTGTGAAGTATAGTCATGTTGAAAAATCAACAAAAACGTACCAATTAAACAACCCACATGCATGCATTCATATTTTTGACATTTATTGCTCCCATATGTCGTCATCGTATGTGACATACGGTATGACTAATTAATGCAAATCTCATATGCATTAAATAATTTTTTTTTAAAAAAGACATATATATTCAAGTCCAAGAGGAAGTCTAAAACACGTTGCTGGAGACTCAGAACTTAAGAGCTCCTTTTAATAGTTTAAGGCCAATTTTGATGCTTTTCCAAATATATATATATAGATATATGTAAATCGAATAGTTTTCAGTTAGTTTCCTTCAATATTAAAAGCTTCAAGACAAACTTGAAGGTAACATCTTTCAAAAGCTTCAATCTTTTCTCATTAAATTAGATAGTCGAAAATAAATTAATTTTATGTATTTACTTATGCATATATATATATATAACTTTGTAATGGATCGACTGTGACAATTATTATCATATATATCTAAACGCATAATTAATCGTATATATTCCGATAAGTGGATGAATGGAAGTGTAGTACTAAACAACATTACAGAGAGAGTTAAGTAGAAGTGCTTTATGATAAAGATGGAATCAAAGAAATCACAGCGTCTCAGTTGGTTGGATTGCTTCTTAGGACCCAAAAACAGCAACTCCAAGTGGCTTCAACAGAATCTTGATGGTAAGTTAAATTTTTATCGATTTTTTACTACTCCTTATTTATCTATTAATTGCCACTGCTAATATCTTCTGTTGTGATAGATCCATACATGAGTTAATATCTTTCGGATCACTCAACTAAGGAGTTTTATCATAAAAATTTACTCAACTATCATTTTTACTTTAAAAGTCATTTCACTATAAGAACTCGAGGCAGTATTAGATTAGAATTAGGGGTGTCAAAAATGAATTCAAACATACGTAATTCGCCCAATTCAATCTCCAATTTCAATTCGTTTTAAATTTTTTTATTAAGATATGTTCTTATATTGAAAGTATGAATTATTATCTATTTAATATCTTTTAGGACTTATCTATCAGTTTGTTTCTTTTTTTTTTAACAAAAAATTCTTGAGCGAAAATTCAAATTGTGATTATAAAAGTTAAATATCAATATGTTAAATTACTGAAATTAATAACGCTGGGCGGGTCAAGACCCAACCCTTTTTTAGCCCATTTAAGCCCAAAGTTAACTTGGGCGGGTCAAGACCCAACCCCATTTCTATTCAACCATTGTAATATTTTCAAGAGAAAATTGTATATAATAGCAAAACTAATAACCTAAAATAAATGGAGTAGCTAGGGTTTGATTTAATTGTGCTCCATAGCAAACGTTTGCAAAAAATTGCCAGGTGTCTCTCTCCCAAATATCTCGCTCGCCACTCTCCTCTAGTCTCGCTCTCGCTTCCTCTCTTTTTATACAAACAGAAGTGTATAAAAATTGTTTCTAATTGTATAAAGCAGAGAAAATTGTATCAATACATATATTTTTGTTCCCCTCTGTCCCTTTTTCCAGATCTCGCTCGCCACCCTCGCCTTTCTCACTTATACAAACAGAAGCAAAATGTATAAATTGTGTTTCTGTTTGTATAAAGCGTGAGAAAATTGTATAAACACATGTAATTACATATATTTTCGTCCTATACACTTATAATTATACAATAAAAATACTACCCTGCCCACTTTCTTTTGTCTATCTCTCTTTCTCGTTTTATATAATTTTCAAATTGTATCTAATTTCTCTCTTTCTCGTTTTATACAATTCGATTCAATTGTATATTCCTTGTCAGGTCACTTTTGTCTTTCTCTCTTTCTCATTTTATACAAATTCAAATTGTATATAATTGTTCTATACACTTATAATAATACAATTCATTTTATACACTTCGTTTTCCAAGTTTCCTTCTCTTTCTTGTTTTATACACTTCGTTTTATACAATTTGCTTCAACTGTATATGTATAGCGAATTATATAGTTTCTATGTTTACTATGGAGCGCAATTATGCAAACTTTGCTATAGCATACAAATATGAATTTTTTATTTGCTATATGTAAAAATTGCTCTTTTTCGATTTCAATTCAACCCGCCCATTTGACACCCCTAATTAGAATAATCCCATGATTAAATTAAATCCATTCAGTGTAATTTCATGATTTCACAAACTAACATTTTTTTTCTCCATGTATGGTTTGCTATATTGAGTTGATTTTTGTCTTTTTGATTTCTTTTTCTTTTTAAATGCAGTTAGATGATTGATCACTTGAACTATTTATTTATTTATTTATTTAAAAATAAGCTTCAAGTATTTGAACAATTTAAGTAGGCTTAAATATATTTAAAGTTTAAGGTAATCTTTTGTCTAACAAAAAATTAGAAATACGCCGTGCTATCTAGAACCTTCGTAGTGGCACGGCACCTCAAAATTAAGAACAATTCTTTTATATATATTTTAATATTTAACTTGACTTATCAAATAAAATAAAAAAATCCTACAAAAATTTAAAGTTTAATTGTAAAGAAGATTTTTGTAGAGTTTTATTCTCAAATAATTCAAGTGAGAAAATAGCAAAAATGATGACAAAATTATTCTTCTCCTAATTAGTTTGAAGGCCACAAAAATATAATATTGTCCCCATGTTATCATCAACCTTGACCCAATTACACGAAATAAAATATTCCATAAAAACTTAAGGGTATAATAGGAAAAAGAATTTTTTTATGTAGAGTTCTAAACCTAATACAAGATTAGGTTGAAAACAATGAATCAAACACTTAATGAAATATGTACATTAGAAATGTCTGATTATTAGTCTTTATATCAAACTACCCTAAATGTTTTACTTAAAAGTGACTTAATTTTGATTTTACTTCAAAAGCCACTTAACTATAAATATTAGTGAAATTTCAAAATCATCATTTTTGAAGAATTTATTAAAATTTTGCCATGATTTTTTACCATATTTGAGTTATAACTTTTTATAAAAGAAAAATATAATTCTCTTCCAGTTTTATCTTCCATAGTATTAGTCATTTACAAGCAAAAAAGAACACACAGACATAATTTTTTCAAACTCTTCAATCCACTACTGTCTATTTTCACTGTTTGGGAGTTGTGGGAATACTTATTTACTTTCAGTGTATTTCCTTTGCTTCTATAAACATCTGACATTTAGAAAACTCTTCTGTTTTTATCATAAGAATTAATTTTATTTTTCTAAGTCTTTTAATGGAAGAAATATTAACATGACCTAATCTACCACCCTACAAATTTATAGACTCAAAAATATAAACATTATTTGAAATACTTTGACTATTGACAATCACTTAAACAATGTTTAATATAAAGGGAAAAGGGTCTGATATACTCCTCAACTTTGTCATTTGGAGCTGATATACCCCTCGTTATAAAAGTGGCTCATATATACCCTTACCGTTATACAAACGACTCACATATACTCCCGCCGTTACAAAATGACACACATATACCATTCATTTAACGGAATTTTAAATAATTAGTTTTAAATTTATATTTATTACTTATAATTTTTTTAAAAAAATTATTTAGTGGTATATATGATTCTTCTATAAAAGTTCAAGGTATATTTTAATTTTTTTCATACATAAATTATTTTTTGACTTCTTTTATTATTTGAGTTTCTTATTCTTATTTTATTTTTTTCTTTCATTCCTTAGTTTAAAAAAAATTAAACTATTTTTTGTGTGTATTGTAATTTAATTTCGTATTCGAAAAAAAATTTGGTCATCTACAATAAGTTTTACAAGAATATTAGTGAAACATAAATAAATTTGATTACCAAAATAATAATTATAAATTAGTCATTGAAACAAAAAAAAGTCAAAAAAAATATGTTTGACAAGGATTAAATTTACTAATATGGGATTATATTTTGTAGAAAAAAATAATAAAAATTTAGATTGAAAATTATTATTTTTTTATTTCCGTTAGAGGAAAAGGGTATATGTGAGCCATTTGTTTACAAGTAGGGGTATATATGAGCCACTTTCATAACAAGGGGTATATCAGCTCTAAATGACAAAGTTGAGGGGTATATCACACCTTTTTTCCTAACATAAATAATCCTCCACTAAGAAGATATTTCTTCCCAACAAAGTCTTCTCCACGAGAAATAATTATTTTATCAGTTTGAAAAACAAGTTTAAGGCCTACTTTGTTGAAAGGGCTCTGGAAATTAAGTATCTATGGAGGGAAGGAACATACAAAACATTGTTCAAGAATAGTGTCTAATTTAAGTAAAACATTTCCTCTATCCATAACTTCAATAATAGTGGAGTTATCCATGTAAACACAATCTTCATCAGTGGACTCCTCAAAGTCATGAAATAAATTTTTATTGGCACAGAAATGCCTTGAGGCGCCTGTGTCTAGTACCCAGTAAGTTTTGTTAGTCACCAGATTTGCCTCAATGACTACAGCAACAATCACTTCATTACCATCAACAAGATTAGCTTGGACATCACTTTGTCCTTCCTGCTTTGAGTCCTGTCCTTTTCTTTGAAAGCACTTCGCATCCTTATGACCAGCTTTTTCACAAACAAAGCAAGAACCTTTAAATTTTTGAATTTGACTCCACTACTTGTTGAATTTGATTTTTCTATTTCATAAGTTTCTTTTTCGTGACTTTCTTCTGTTTGCCTTTGAAGCTGTTTTCCATAACAGTACCAGAATATTCAACAAGATTAGTTTTAGAATAGTTAAAGAATCTTATCTTTGAAACAGTTCTCCTCTTCAGCCCTCATATAACAAATAAGAGCTAAAAAAAGTTGTTATATTTTAACTAATTTCTATAATCACTCCAAAAGATGGTGAATATTTTTGAAGCAGAAAGGGATTGTGAAGGTTAAAGTCATTAAAGGCCATTACATGAAACCCCTTGTTTGTCTTTTGAATGTTATATCTTTGCAATTTGCATTAGACTTAGTTAGAATTGTAGGGTGAATATAGAAAATGACTTTGATATTTCAGAGATGAACCGGAATGTTTCAAGGATGCTGAAAATGATTGAAGATTCAAATGCAGAGTCATTTGATATAAAGTATTCTGAGAGTAAAAAAGAATTAATGAACCTTGTTGTAAAATGCTACAAGATATACTGTTCATTGGCTGAGCGCCATAATGACGGGGCAACAGAGCTTCTGAACTACATTCCTAATTCAGATCTTATTCCATCACAATCCAATGTTACTTCATTCAAAACCTCTGCGCTTCCTTTATCTAAATTCCCTAGCTCTAAGCAGCCAAATCATCATGAGTACAAAGGCTCTAAGCAACTAAAACGAGGTGTTTCTGATAAAGGGATTAATCATCACATCAAAGGAAAAATTAGTAAAATTCCAACTGTCATGTATAAGTGTAAGTTGGCGGAGTTCGTACAAGACTCAGATACACAGAGTGACAATGATTATGAAGGGTCTGATGATGAGTTGGAGGCTGAACTACGCGATATGATAGAGAAGCTTTACAAAGAGCTGGAAGGTGTTTCAAATCTGCAGGGTGAAACTTTGAGGCATGGGGAATTTAGTAATGTGAAAAAAGAATCGGTATCATCAAACTTGGAGATTCAGCCTGAAACTAGCAGAGGATTATATACAAATGAACCGTGCGAATCATTAGAGGAGGCTCTTATTCAAGCTAGAGCAGAGAAAATAGAAGCAGAGACTGAAGTTGAGCGACTAAAGGCAAGCATTGTCAAGAAGAACAATTATGTCCAAGAATTGAACAAAATCCTTGAAGCAGTAAAGGCAGAGAGAGATCAGTTGAAAGTCAGAGTTGCAATGCTTCATGATGACCCTGAGTCAGCAAAGCCTTTGCACCAAAATGATTAACCATGAGTAATGTGTTGATTTAATTTTGTTTTTTCAAATGAATGTCGTGAAGGTAGAGAAATTGTATCCGATAAATGAACATTATGAATCATATATAAGAGGCCGTTGTCTATTAGAACAGAGAGAATAGAAGTAGAGCCTTCATTTCCATTATTGGAGTAAAGATAGATATCGTAGTAGAGAGGTTGTTTAAACCTAAGAACCATTAGTTAAGCTAGAGCCAATATAATAAACGCGAAATTTTCTTGCATCGGAGAGCATAGAAGTTTGTTTCCATAAACACTCGTTCAAATATAGCATATATTCCAAAAATTCTAAAAAAATGCATCATAGAAATTATTTTTTAAAAAAGAACGCAGCACATATTCCATTTTATTTAATTATAAAATAAAATAATCAACAACGCGCCAGGTAGGGGTCGAACCTACGACTTTCTGCTTAGGAAACAGACGCTCTATCCACTGAGCTACAGGCGCTTTGTTTTTACCCTCTGCATTAAACTTCAGTTCGTCAAGAGCGTTATGGTAAGATGCACGATCCTGTAAGATGCGCTTTACCGATATAGCAAGGAGAAATCAGAGTTTTTTTCGATCTCGTGAACCCATTATTGAAACGGTATAGTAAAAAATAAATAATACAGTTTTCTATTTAGACATTTTCAAGTTACATGAGCAAAATCAACAGAATCTGTGAAGATACATTCACTTCTTAATTGGAGATTTTAAACAAAAGTAACAAAGTCATATATATTCAAGTTTCATGGTGTTATTCAACCTGTCCCTCTTTCATCATCTCTATTTGTTCAATCCTTCAGTGCTTGAGCAGCAGCATTCACAAGCCCTCCATTATTCTCCATGCACCCTATAAGTTAGATCTTTGTCGCCACGTCTGGCATCTATGTACACGGTGGAATTCTCATTAATTTCCTCCTTGACAAGCATCTTTGATAACTCCGTTACAACTTTCTTCTCCAACCACCTCCTAATAGGCCTTGCACCGTACACCGGATCATAGCTTTGTGCAAGTACGACATCTAATGCGGCCTCAGTAACGCCCAATGCAATACCCCTCTCAGCTAAACGGCCTGCCACATCTTTCAGTTGGTGACGGCAGACTTGCCTCAACTGATCGTGTGATAAAGGATCAAACACTAGAACCTCATCGAGCCTGTTCAGTAACTCAGGCTTAAATTGCTTCCTCACATCCTGCATGACCATTTCGCGGGTACCTGACAAGAGATATTCCGCTCCCAAATTTGAGGTCATAATGATCACAGTGTTGGTGAAATCAACAGTACGACCTTGACCATCAGTTAATCTACCATCATCCAACACTTGAAGCAAGGCATTAAACACAGTTGGATGAGCTTTTTCAACTTCGTCGAAAAGCACAACACTGTAAGGTCGCCTCCTTACAGCTTTGGTAAGTTGTCCTCCTTCCTCATGTCCGACATAACCTGGTGGAGCCCCAATCAACCTGGCAACAGAATGTTGCTCCATGTATTCGGACATGTCGATTCTGACCATCAATTTGTCATCATCAAAGAGCTGCTCAGCAAGAGCTTTAGCAAGTTCTGTCTTTCCAACACCAGTTGGCCCCAAGAAAAGGAATGAACCAGTTGGTTGTTGTGGCCTTCCTAATCCAGCTCTAGACCTCAACACAGCCTCAGTAACAGCTTTTACAGCTTCATCTTGCCCCACAACTCTTTGGTGCAATCTATCAGCAAGACCAATCAATTTCTCCTTCTCATTCTGCCCAAGCCTAGAGACAGGAATTCCAGTCCAGCGACTAACTACTTCCGCAATCTGATCGGGTCCAACAGTCTCTGTTAACATTCTACTCTCATCTGTGCTACTCTCAAGATTGGCTATTGCAGCTTCCACATCTTGGATGGCACCATATCTAAGATCTGCTGCTCTGGCAAGATCATATCTCCTTTCAGCGTCTTGTAAAGCATAGGTCAGTGCATCGCGCTTTTGCTTAAGCCTTCGAAGCTCATCAATCCGTTCCTTCTCCTTGTTATACCTCATCATCAAAGGCTGGAGTTTGTCCCTCGAATCATCAAGCTCTTTCCTCACTTCAACAAGTCGAGCTTTGCTAGCCTTATCTTTTTCCTTTTCAAGAGCATGGTGTTCAACTTGTAGCTGAATCCTCTTCCTTTCAAGATTATCTATTTCTTCTGGCTGACTATCAAGCTGAACCCTCACATTTGCACTAGCCTCATCAACTAAGTCAATAGCCTTATCAGGCAAATGTCGACCTGTAATGTATCGAGATGAAAGCTGAGCTGCAATAACAAGAGCCCTATCCTGAATTTTGACACCATGATGGCCTTCATACTTCTCCTTCAACCCTCTAAGGATACTTATAGTATCGGGAATGCTAGGCTCAGCGACATATACCTGCTGGAAACGCCTTTCAAATGCAGCATCCTTCTCCACATACTTGCTATACTCTTCCATAGTTGTCGCACCAATGCACCTTAATTGGCCCCTAGCAAGCATTGGCTTGAACAAATTAGCAGCATCCATTGACCCTTCAATCCTACCAGCACCTAAAACCAAGTGTATCTCATCAATGAAGAGAGTTACTTTCCCTTGTGCATCTTCCACTTCCTTGAGAACATCCTTCAACCTCTCTTCAAATTCACCTCTGTACTTTGTTCCAGCAATGAGTGCTCCCATATCCAATGCGATCACCCTGACATCAGCCAAATTACTTGGAACATCGCCTCGAACAATCCTTTGTGCTAGCCCTTCAACTACAGCTGTTTTACCAACACCAGGCTCACCAATAAGCACCGGATTGTTCTTTGTCCTCCTCGATAGAATCCGAATCACTCTTCGAATTTCTTCATCCCTACCAATCACAGGATCAAGTTTTCCTGCTTGTTCCACGAGATCACGACCATAGGTGTTAAGAGCTTGGAATGTGGTCGCACTTTCCACATCCTTTCCATCTTTTCCTCTAAGTTTCTCAACTTCTGATTTCACTCCTGCTGCACTAAGACCAGAGTCGTTCAAAAGATGAACAATTTGTGAATCTTCCAGAAGGCCTAAAATCAACAGATCAACTGCCAAATGGCTATCACCACGAGACTTCTGCAACGATTGTGCTCGTAGCAGCACCTTATTAAGTGAAGTACTTGGTGGAACTTGATCAGGTGGTGGTAACTGAGAAGGGATTTTCTTCTTAGCTTGATTAAACACCCTTTGAACACCATTAGCTGTATCTTCTATGCCAGCAGCATTTACGATTGCTTGCCAGAAAATACCACTGTGATCAGATAATAAAACCAAAGCAATATGCAGAGGTGTCAACTGAGCATTCCCTGCTGATACAGCCAGTTCATGTGCCTCACCAACAGCCTCATTTGTCTTGTCAGTAAAATTTTCAGGATTATTCATCATCAATTACTCTGTCTTTCAATACAAGAGACTTCCTATTGATTTGTTCTTCTAAGAGAAAGAATCAAATGTGTGTAAATAGTGTTACACCACCAATTCACACTTTTTAAATGTAACATTTTTACAATATTATTTTTAGATATGAAGTTTAGTGTTATAAACGTATTTGTATTATAGTAAATGTTGGAGTCCTTTTATCAAAGCGGCTCTGTGATAACTTTTTCTTCTCCCTCATTCAAGATATTATGTAAGTAATATATTACTGAATCTAATGAGTTAAACTTAAATTAAAGTCAAAAGAAAAAGTTTTATAAGGTAACTATTCGCTTTAAAATCGAAAAATGAATTCGATACAATTCACCAGAATCTAAGAAATGATCAAATTAGAAAATTATTGTAAATAAGATCCATGAAACATTGAATATACTTCAAGATGAATAAAAAGTCTTTTTTGTTCTCCCTACTTTATTCTTCTACTAAATTTATTTAGTTTCATAACTTTTAGCTTTTTATAAATTAATTTTTCTATATATGACCTTTTTAAATAAATGAATATATGTTAATGTTGCTATAAATTATAATTGGATATAAACTAAAAGTAATCTTCACGAAAATTAAAAATACAAACATATACAATGTACTTAGAAATAATCGAAAATAATAAACATTCAATAAAGTAGTAATTGACATACATTAAAAATGAAAATATAAAATACATAACAATTTTAAAAAGTACAACAAAACATAATAATTTTATGTTAAATGATTATGAAAGGAAATAATATGAATTATATATGGTGAATGTTTTAGAAATAATTTTATAAAATAAGAAAATATAAATGAAATAAGAAATAATAATATATTAATAAAGAGAAAGAAAAAGATTTTTTGTGCATATAGTTTGATAGTTAGAATTGATTATAATAAAATTAGTGCTGACATCAAATTTAACGTAAAATTCGATGTTTGGATTGAAGATGGCATAGTCACACTGGGCCTTTTGTGCTTTCTAGTGTGCACAACAGGATGGTAGGTTCTTAATTAATTTCCTTACCACATATAACCTTACATTCGTGTCCTCTTTAGTAACTTTTCTTAATTTTATAATATAGAAATATGGTTTGAAAAATTATAGCCATTCAACGAGGGAAGTTGATAAACATATACTCTTTTTTGGGTCTTAATTTTAAAATTTGTAATTTAAAATAAATTTCAGGTATTTATATTGCTATATATAATTTCATTAAAGATAATATTGACATTTTAAAATTAAATTATTATTAAATAAAAAAATAACTTTTTTATTTAACTGATACAAAAAAATATGTATCATATAAATCGAAACAGAAAAAAAGTTAATAATATAATTGGTGATATGGTTTAATAATTCCTTTCCCATATTTAATTAGTTGGTGGATGGTTTTCAAATGGGGACACATTTACAGCAGAAAATAATTTATTTTTATATGGTTATTATTTTCTTTGTTTTCAAAAAAATAGAGAGAAGAAGATAACATTTAAAACACTATAATTGCGAAAAGTAACCAAATAGAAAAGTGGAGTCCATTAATCCTACCATCAACTAGTAAAATTTTCACCTAATAACAAAAGCAAGACCATTAACCCTTAAATCAATATAATAATAGAGTCTATGAAATGATGCTAACGTATTAATTATTTTTAGGATAGATAATCGGTATAAATAAGCATATTAATATCGATAAAACACTTATAATAATAAAAAAATTATATAAAAAGAACCAAGAAAAATAGTAACAACGACACAAAAAAATAATGTACATAGTAATAAATTGAAAATAATAAAGTACTCTTTTTGTTTA